GAATAACAGGAAATGAAAGAAAGTCAATGTGACCAGAATTTAGTAGAACTTAGCATTAATTTAAGAGAGAGAGGACGTCAAGGCCTGAATTGTACTGGGCTTTCTAGGACTTGGAATAATGGGTATTTTCATCTTAGTGAAGAGAAATGCTCTTACCCATTATGTCACATTTGGGCAAATTAGAAAAGGCATCTGCCCCTCAAGATACTTTCATGTTGTTGGAAAATTGTAGTAAACTCTTGTTATAACAAGATGCTTCACTGAAATCTGCTGGAAAATATTTGTAGTACAGATACAATTTACAATGCCTCCAGTGTGAAATGTTCTCTCTAACAGGGTTGTTCTATTACTGCATAATTATTTTTTATATTATAACTGGAATTTTAAGAATGTTTTTAATGTAATATAAATAAATATGTGATGCCTTCGGTGGCATTACCAATGTAAGTGATACAGGACTTTAAAACCTTAAGAAATTAATACAGAAAATATAAAAACACTCTTCTATACAAAAAAGTTTCATAACAAAATAGAGAATAGCAATGGTTAACACACTGTGTATCATGAGCTTAAAAGAATTACCAAAATGTTATTCAAAGTACAAGTCATATATATACCAAAAAAGATCTTGCCTTACAAAGAAAAAAAAAATAAGAGGACAAAACTTTCTTTTTAGCAATAAAAGAAATTGGTATAAATGAAACAAATTAGCATTTATCTTAAAATATTTTGAAACAGTCAGGGATTTAGCTCAATGGCATAAGTGTTTGCCTGGCAAGCGTGAGATTGTGAGTTTGATCCCTGGTACAAAAAAAAAAAGGAAACAACAGAATTATTTGAACTTCTCCGTACTTCCTATTTATTTTCTATTTCTTCTCTCTCTCTCACTCTCTCTATATGTATATATGACATATAAGTGTTTTTCCTCATAGAAGAGAAACTATGTGATATTGAAGCTTGTGTCTGACTTACTTCACTTAACATTATGTTCTCAAGTTGCATCCATTTGCCTACAAATGCCTCAAATTTATCTTTCTTAGGGTAGTATTCCTTTGTGTATAAATACATTTTAAAATCTATTCATCTGTTGATGTGCATATATTCTGTTTCCAAGATCTAGCTATTATAAATTGTGCTGCTGGGTATGCATGTATCCCTGTAATATGATGACGTTAACTCTTGGGAAGCTATCTAGAAGAGGAATAGCTGGGTCAAATAGAATTTCTATTTTTAATTTTTTGAGTTATCTCAGCATTGGTTGCCATAGTGGCAGTACTAGTTTATATTCTCACCAACAATATAGAAGAGTTTCTTTTTCTCCACATCTTTCCTAGCATTTGTTGTTTCTTGATTTTTTTTTTTTTTGGATGATGGTCATTCTTTCTTGGGTAAGATGGTATCTCAATATAGTTTTAATTTTTATTTCTGTAATAACCAGCAATACTGAACAATTTTTCATGTGTTTATTGGCCATTTGTATTTCTTCTAAGAATTTCCCATTTTTTAAATTTTATTTTAAAGAGGATAAAACCAAGGAGAATAAAATAGAATAAAACCAATCAAAATAAACCAGTGTAAGTGACTTTAAAACCTTAAGAAATATGGTAACCATTGTTGATCACCTTGTATTATGTTTTTACATTATCTATTATGTCCACCCTTTTGATTTGACTGACTCTGTTCTGTTATGTCACATTTGGTTTTACTCTCTTCCAAAAAAAGTAATAAGAACTGTGGGAACAATAAAACCCAAAGTGTGTAATAGTCATTGTACAAAAGAGAGGAAAAGAAAGTGCTCTAAACGATATAACTGCATGCATATTTAAGTGTATAAGATAGACAATGATATTATGGAGTTTTGTTGGATCATTGAACAGAACTGTTTGGTCTCACTGTTTGAATGTCCACTATATAAGCTTTAATTTTGTAACTTGAACAAATATTTCTAAGATGACAATATGTAATCCATTAACTAGTGATTTTCTACTGTTTATTTTTTTTCTGAAATTCTGTATAACTTGTACCCTTTTTCTGCTTTTCTTTTTCTCCTTAAATAAAATTAAAAAAAAAAAAGAAATAAACAGTAGTTACCATAATGTCTTTTGTTATTTTCAAAACAGCTGCAGATACCTTCAGACATAGTAAAAGTTGAACAGAACAGAACAGAAACAATAAAAACAAAATGGTGAATGCAAAAAAGGACTTGAAAACAAGCCAATAGTAAATCCAGAAGGGCTACCGTAATTATGTCTTGCTATCTTATAAATAGCTTCTCCTGCCATTGTATTTGACATAATCCAACAAAATAAAAGAGAATAAAACCCAACCCAACAAAACAATGAAAATGATATGGTTTCTAGGCGGGGTTTGCTTCCTGGGGAGGCCTGGATCCCTCCCAGCCCGCAGATGGTGCTGACTCATGGAGAGAGGCTGGGCTCTGGCTGTCCCCACTCAGGCAGTAGCCCGACCCGAGCTTGGTGCTGGCTTCTAGGTGGGGATCACCTCTTTGTGAGGCCTGGTTCTCCCACAGTCCACAAAGTTGCCCATTTTTTGATAGCACCTTTTATTTTGGGGGAGTCTAATCTTTCTTGAGTTCTCTGTGTAAGGAATAGCTGGCAAAAATTTTTTCCCATTCTATAGGTTGTGTCTTTACTCTGTTGGTTAATTTTCTTTGCTGTGCAGAAGCTTTAATGTGATATGACCCCATTTTTGATTCTTGGTGTTATTTCTTATGCCATTGGGATTCTGTTCAGGAAGTCCTTATCTATGTCTTACTTATTTTATTGTCCAGCATATTAGATTTTTTTGTTTGTTTGGTACCAGGGATTGAACTCACGACCTTGTGCTTGCCAGGCAGGTGCTTATGCTGTTGAGCTAAATCCCCATCCCAGGATGTATCTGTTTTAACATTTAGATCTTTGATTGACTTTGATTCTAGTTTAGTGCATGGTGAGATACATAGGTCTAGACTCAATCTTTTACAAATGAATATACAGTTTCCCCCAGCATCATTTATTAAAAAGGTCACCTCTCCTCCAGTGTGTGCCTTTTCCCCTTTGTCAGAGATCAAATAACTGACTGCCCGGGGTTGTTTCTGCTTCTTGTACTCTATTCTCTTGATCTACATTACCTGTTTTATTCCAGTACTGTGCGGTTTTAATCACAGTAGTTTTGTAGTATAACGTCAAATCTAGGATTGTGATGCCTGCTTTGCTTTTGTAACACAGGATTGCTTTTGCTGTTCTGAGTGTCTTCTGGTTCCATATGAATTTATGATTGTTTTCTCTAGCTCTGTGTGAAATGCTACTGGTATTTTGGCTAGGTTTACATCAAAGTTGTGTATCAGTTTTGGAAGTACAGCCATTTTGATTTTATTCCTTCTGCCTATCCAGGAACAGGAGAGATCCTTCCATTTTCTTTTTCTTTTTTTTTTTGTCTTTTTCATTTTTATCGGTACCAGGGATCGAACTCATGACTGCCTGCTTGCAAGGCAGGCGCTTATGCCGCTGAGCTAAATCCCCAGCCCCGATCCTTCCATTTTCTGATGTCCTCCTTGATTTTTTTAGACTGATGCAATTTTTAATTTTAATTGTAGAGGTTTCAGGCTAGGCGTGATGGCACACGCCTGTAATCCCAGCACTTGGAAGGCTGAGGACAAGAGGATTGCTGTGAGTTCAGATTCATCCTATGCTACAAAGTGAGCTCAAGGCCAGCCTGAACTGTGTAGTGAAACCCTGTCTCAAACAGACACACACACACACACACAATTGTAGAGGTCTTTCATTTCCTTGGTTAGGTTAATTCTGAAGTGATTAATTTTTCTTAATGCTATTATAAATGGCATCATTTTATTAATTTCTTTCTCAGTGAGTTCATTATTAGCATATAGGAAAGCTATGGACTTTTGTGTTTAAGTTCTATCCTGCCATTTGAGGTGCCCTCCGTGTGGCTCATGGCGGGGGGGATTGTCAGATAGGAATGCTACTGCAGTGAGACCTATGCAGCTCAGGCCTCAAAGTGCTGTTAGTGTGGGCCCAGCCAAATTTTCCTTTTTTGGGAAGCTTACCAGAGGTAAATTCTTGAAGGCGAGGGGCAGTTTTCTCCCTGGGGGACTGAGCTGGTGCACTGAGCCATAGGCTGCTTTCTCCCTGGCCCGCGTCCCTTGGAGAAGCTGTTCTCCCTGTCATTCTCTCCTGGGGAAGGGGGACAGGTCACAGAGGCTGCACTCATAATGCCATGGCTCAAAGTGGGTAGTAGGAGACTGTGTTGTCTCCCTGACCGACCAGTCTCTCACTTTGCACCACCCCTGCTGTGGTCCATGGTCTGTGCTCCAGAGTGTCCGACGCACTCACTTCGTGGGCGCTGTGGGGATCCCGTCCCGACTCCACCTGAGCCTGGCGCCTCCTGTCTGCGCTCTGTGCACTAGTGTTCCTGTTCTGTCCTGAGGTTGGTGTCCGGGTGGGGCAAGATGGCTCTGTAGCTTCCTGCCACTCTTCTTCCCTTCTGCCAGCAGAGGGAGTGGCTGCGTTTGAAGAGTTCACCTGTGCAGTTTGCCAGCCATTTCCTTCCCATCTGTCCAGTGTTTCTTCCTGACTAACTTGTTTTGAACATGTGGCGGGGATGTAGCAGTGGTGATGTGTTTGTTTCTGGAAACCATGTTTCTCTTTGAGGGAGGTTTAAGTTTGTTTTAGAGAGGTATATTACTCTAAACTTTTGGATGTTTGTAGTCTCCAGAGGTACATTCAGAAGGAGTAACATCTCTGAAGGGTGACCAGAGGCTGCCGGAGAGCCTCAAAATTATGTCACAGAACAGTTCCCCAAGGCCAGGCCATCTGCAGTGTCTGTGAATAGCAGTGGCCAAATAGTATGCCACAAAAACTCCTGGTCTAAAAAGACACTAGAAACTGGGCAAACTAGTGTTAGGCATGAAAACTGCTTCCCTGTTTTACTATGTTAAACAATGAGTACTTCACAGGAAAAAAAATCACAAAAATAAAGTATTGAGTTTTTAATATGTATTGGGTGTTTATTTAAAAAGCATCAAAATTTTCAACATTGACTGGTTTTTGGTGTACAAAGTCTAAAATGGAACATCAGAAATAAACTCCAATACGCCGATAGAACTCTAAAAACAGTCTTTACTTCAATTACTGCACTTATGGCAGCCTGCACACGACAACGACACATTCCATACACACAGGCTCTGCTTACGCCAACAGCACATGTCTTTGGCTTTCCTGGCCTTTCTGTAGGACATACTTGACAACTCGGTGAACTTGCTGTTTTGTCAGGAGGTTCTTACTGTCATATACAATGTGTGGTTAACAGGAACATAAAATATCAATTAAATAAATTAGTAAATTCTTAATATGTACGGTACATTTAGAATAAACATCAACATTTTCACATCAGCTGTGTACTTACTTACAAAACCTCAAAGATAACATCAGAAATAAATTCTTATATGAACTACAATGAAAATACCAATAAAACTTTACCACAAAAATAAGCTTTGAGCTGGGTGTGGTGGTGCATGCCTGTAATTCCAGCACTCAGGAGGTTAAGGCAGGAAGTTGTTTCCAAAAAAAAAAAAAAGAAAGAAAAAAGAAAGGTTTGCTTCCTCTGTCACACCCAAGCAGTCTTCATAACTGCACGCTCCACACATGTCAGGAGCTTCCTAGTATATTGTATAACATCTACTTAGCAAGGGAACAAGATTACAATAAGATAAAATATCAAATATGTGGTAAGTACTTAGCATAGACATCAATATTTTCACGTCAGCTGTCTATTTGCTTATAAAAGCTAAAGATAATGTCTAAAGTAAAAACCTACGTGAACTGCAGTGTAAACACAAACAAAAGTCTGCCACAGAAGTAAGTTTTGCTTCAACGGTCACACCCAAGGCAGTCTTCACATGTGCCAACTGCATGTTCCCTACATAAGTACCGCTTACCCTGATAGCACACACATGTGCACTCTTTTCCTGTACTTTCTTGTAGGGCATATTTGACATGTTTTGTTTTCCTGTTGTTGCAGTAGGCCTTTGTGATGCTGCTCCTACCTGTTCACCTGTCAGCTTACCAGTGTGCTCCAGAATTTTTTTGCATAGTTCCCCAGGCAGAAAGTTTTTTCTCTGCTATAAACGATCTCTCATGAGTTCCAGTCCTCTAAGAAAATGTTTCTGTGATATTTTGCTCTGTTATTTCCTTTGTAAACTATCAAACTATGCCACACTATTTTAGGATCAAGTAGAACACAGCTACTGGCCAATGTTTTGTATTTCAAGTGACATCATAATTGCTGCATAACTCATAAACAATATCTACTCCACGTTTGGTTTTGTTATTGAAAGCTTCTATCTCAGACTTCCATTTTATTGAGGTTTCTCTATCAATATTTCCATCACGGTAACGTGATGACATCATCAGCACCAGTTCGATTTTCTTTGCCACGTATGAGGCCAATGTTTTATCTTTCTGAAACTCAAATATTGCCCTATAAGTGTCTTTGTTTTCAAATTGCAACCTTTCATTTGGAAATTCTGCTTTGTTGCTGTGCACAGTTTCTGTACTGGTCAACTTGGGCTCTGTTATCAAACATAACATCAACTGGAAAATGCTAAACCAATTTTTGCATGTCACATTCTGATTAGTTTGGGAGATAGAAGCAACGAGTCTGTTTACATCATTTGGTTTGTTACTTTACATAAGGATCTGATGGCTGAGTCCCAGGATAAATATCTAAATTAAAATAATATCTTCACACCTGTAAGGGCATAAATTTTTACAACGCATCTTGACCCATCACTGTTCCGTAAGTCTTTTACATTCCTGCAATCACCATGAGAAATCAATGCTAAGTACTGCAGATCTATGAATGCTTTCAGTTCAGCTAGTGAGATGTCATAATAAATACATTTTAAGCATTCCTATCAGTGCATAGAGAAAATTTTACCTGCATTTTAACCTTTGTGTATTTCACAGCATCTTTTATCATTTTGTCTGTTATAATTTCCAACATGAATGGCAGTGCTGGCATTCTGTCCAATATTTCCAGTATTCATCCCTGCGAAGATCTGCACTATATTTTCAGACCTAGTTCTAACATTGGATCTTTCCCTTTGGTTGTGTGGCCATTTCACAACATTTTGACCAGTCAAGTATGTACTCAGGTTGTTGTTTTCTTTGTCACCTGAATCAAGGTGGCCTGTATACTATGTGTCTGTATTAATTAATTCTTGCCTTACTTCACTGTCATAGGAACACACGGCCAGTGTCAAAGTCGCATCATTGTCATCATCATCGTCATCCAACCACACCACTCGTCTGCCATGAAAACATGTATTTCACCGTAATGAGTCATCTTCATTACCCATGCATCAGTGATCTGATGAAACCGTTTTGATTTTCTTCAAAATTGCAAATCTGGTTTTTCATGTGCCATTATACTGAACTGGGCTACTTAATATCACACTTGAATATCACAAGGGATTTAGTGAACTCCATGGGTCTCCTTTTTCTGCACAGGATGCCTGGTGAAAGACCCAGACCAGTTTTCTTTCTCCCTAGCTCTCAAGATGTACCATGGCACCAGGTGTAGTGGTGCACACCTGTATCTCAGCACTTGGGAGGCTGAGACAGGAGTATCACAATGAGTTCAAGGGCAGCCTGCATTATATAGTGAATTCAAGGACAGCCTGAGTCACAGAACAAGACCCTGTCTCAAACTTGCCCACCTCCAAGACATGTCATGGGAAATATCCTGAAAAGCACCCAACAGATTTCAGGGTCTTCACCATTAGGCCATATCCTTCAACAGTGGGAAAGATTTGATCCCGCCGATCTAAAAAAGAAACAATTTAGCTTACTGAAATACAGAATAGGTCAAGTACAAACTAGGGAATGGTGAAAGATGGATACAAAATGGTAGTATAAATTATGATATTATTTTGCAGTTAGATCATTTCTGCAAAAAACATGGAAAGCGGAATGAAATTCCTTATGTTCAGGTTTTCATGTCTCTTTATCTCTGGAAAAGCCCAGAAGCTCCCCCAGTTATGCCTCCCGTTTTGACTCAATGGAATTGCTCTCCCCCAGAGTTGGCTGCCCACCTCTCAGTTGAGGAGCCCCCAGCATGAACAGTTTATCCCCTCTCAACCCCCTTCCCTGCCTGAAATACTCCAGAAGCAACTACAGGGTCATTCAAGTTCTAAGAGTCAAGAGAGGTGAAGGGCCCAGCCCCTCTCCGGGTAACCTTGAGGTGCTCTCATGACTCAAGGCTCCCAGTTTGTGCAGAAGGAGGCAGTGGTTCCCACGCTGTCTTCCTGGCCCATCTGAGCTGGATGAGGTGTGATAAGAATGTCCTCACTTTCCACTTCCAGGACAAGACCAGGCACCTGTGCTTGTCACTGAACAAGGAGGGTCAGTTCCGGGTCCAGGTCCTGTGTTTCCATCTATTTTCAATATGTTCAAGCCTTCGTGGGTGTATCCCACCATTCTGGTGTCTGGAGGCTCCAGGAATGCTGTGCTTCTCAGCTGTGTACCGTCCCAAGAGCAGCAGGGCCAGGAGCAGGCGGGGAGCCACACCGGGGTGTGCGAGGGAGACTGATGTTACTTCCGTTCCTCATCCACCCTAATGTCCACGCAGCAATCTAAAGTGGAGGCTTGCTAACTCAACTCCTAATCTGTCTTCCCAGAGAGGCCACTGTCATTCACTGGAAGAGAAGGCTGATGGGGACACAAGCAGGGTAGTCTTGCAACCTCCTCAGACCCTAAGCTTATTCCCAGTTCCCGAGGAACTATTCTGGTTTGTCTTTCAGGAACACAATGGCAGTTTATAAAAAACCTAGATGGGAAGTGATTATTCAAATTTTCACAGGACTAAGACCCCGCTCCTGTGCGCTTCTGAAAGATCTAGGATTTCTCTTCAAAAAGAAAGACCCCAGTTTGGCTTCACATATAGGTAAGCAGAGGCACATAAATATGCATTGGTAGCTGATCTAATGTCCATCTTTGCCGCCACAGGCTCCTGACAGGATCACCAAGCCCTCTTCTGTTGACAAATATAAACCTTACCTCCTTTCTCATTGTCTTCTGTCAGGTTTCTCTCAGTTTAACCATTGTCCACATTATCCTAATGTGTTTAGGGAGTACACCACTGGTAGGACCTCTTGACTTTTTCAGTGAGAAGTAGCTACGTGAAGACCAAGACCAACACTGCCTCAACAAGTCATAAAGAATGATGGGGATTTATATCTTTCAGGGAAATGAGGCAGGAGATTAGGGCGCAGAAATGAGACTGGACTGTAGGGACTGGCCTGTCAATCATGGAGAGGAGGAGGGACAAAAGAGTGTGATGCACCAATCACGAAGACCTGTCAAATCACAGCACACAACAGCTTCCAGTGCCCACACCTAAGGTCAGAAGAAGGATGCGGGGCGGCAGCCACCATTTGCCTCACTGCCATTTTCCTCTTGCTCCTCAGGTAACCTGCTCTGTTCGTTCTTTTTACAACTTTTTCAGTTGTATTTCTTTTCTTCTCCACTTCTTTAACCTTTAATAAACGTTAAACTTCCAAGTTCTGGTTGTCTTTGCCAGTTCTTCGAACAAGATAGCAAGAGACTGGAAAGGACCATCAGCCCCCAAAGGTGACAAGACCATCTTTGCCTTTCAGGTTTATGGAACTGAATTGCTTTGAGCTCTGTTTTTACTAATATGTTCAAGTTCTTCTATATTTTGGGCATTCTGTCAGAGACTTTACCCTTTTTATCTCATTTCCTCCACTCAGCAGTCTATCAAGTAGGTCCTATTTTTATCTTCATGGTGGAGATGAAGATCAGAGAGATCTTATCATTTGTTTTGAGCAGAGAAACAATTACAGGTGCAAATCCGGATTTGATTCTACTGCATTTTAGTGCCTTTTTTAAGATTTAAAAAAATATATTTTAAAACTAATTTTATTGATACATAATGACCACATTCATCATAGGGAATTTGTACCTGTACATAATTTATCTTTTTTTAAATTAAATTTTTGGTACAATTGAGATATACATAATGATCACATTCATCATAGGGAGTTTGTACTTGTGCACGATAGATCTTGATTCTTGTTTTTTCCCCATTCCCTTCCCCTCCAATTAGTCGCTCTTCCCCACTTATTTACAAAGCTTACTCTCCATTTTACTTCTATTCCTTTTTTCTTTTCCTTTCTTTTCATTTCCCCTCCTCTTTTCCTTGTTCTACTTCCCATTTGAACATTTTCTTTCAGTTTTCCAATAATATCAAACTTTTGGTCCTTATTTATCCTTTTAGTTTCTCATACCAGAGAAGCCATATGATAGTTGAATATATGTGTTTAATTAATTTTGCTTAAGAGTAGGGCGCATATATTTACCTAAAAATGTCTTGAGCCTATCCTTCTTTGTGGCAGAGTAGTACTCCCATGCATAAAAAAAATCCACATTTTATTTATGCATTCACGGGCATTTGGGCTGCTTCCAATATTCAGTTGCTACAAATTGTCTGCTACAAACATGTGCGTATATTATTGTAGTTGATGCTTTTAATTCTTTTGGGAAGATGCCAAGAAGGGGGATAGCTGAGTCGAATGGAATCTCTACTTTCAGTATTTTCAACAATCTCCATACTGGTTTCCAGAGTGGTTATACCACTATACACTCTCATCAATAATGGAGAAGGGTTTCTTTTTCCTCTAGTCTTATCAACAATTGATTTCTTGCTGCTAGCCATTCTTTCTGGAGTGAAATGGAATCTCAGCATTGTTTTCATTTGCCTCTCTCAAAGGACCAGTGGTACTAAACATTTTTTCATACATCTATTTGCCATTTCTACTTTCTCATTTGAGAAGTGTCTATTCATTTCAGATGCCAATTTTTGGATTTCCCTCAGTCTTTAAATTTGAGGGATCTCATGTTGGATTTTTTTGAGTTCTTTATATATCTAAATATTAGTTCTTTATCTGAGGAATAGCTGGCAAAATATTTTTCCCCCTCTGTGGGTTGTTTCTTCATTTTGTTGGTAATTTCTTTTGCTATGCAAAAGCTTTTCAGCAAGATGAGATCCTAGTTGTTGATACTATGTGATATTTCCTGTGTGACTGAGGTTTTGTTCATAAAGTCTTTCCTATACTTATGTCTATAAAGTTCTACTTATTCTAGCTTCCTTCATCTTTAGTGTTTTTGTTTTAATATTTAGATCTTTGATCCATTTCAATTTTAGTTTAGTGCCTGGTGAGTGGTATGGGTCTAATTTTAATCTTTGGCATGAAGAAAGCTAATTTTCCCAGCACCATTTATTAAAAAGGCTATCTTTCTTCCAATGAAAGTGTTTGGATCCTTTGTTAACAATAAGAAGGCTGAGTATATTTGGAGTTATTTCTGTATCTTCTAATCTGTTCCACTGATCCTCAGGTCACTCTTCCCCCATAACCATGCTGTTTTTATTATAGTAGCTTTGTAGTATAGTTTTAAATCAGAGATTGTGATATCTCTGCCTTGCCTTTGTTGCACAGAATTGCTTTTGCTATTATAGGTCTCTTCTGGTTCCAAACAACTAGGTTTGTTTTCTCTAAATCTGTAAGGTATACTATTGTTATTTTAATCAGGTTTGAATTAAATCTGTACAACAATTTCAGAAGTATGGTCATTTTCATTATGTTGGTTGTTCCTGCCCAAGAACAAGGGACATTTTTCCACTTTCTGATACCCTCTTTGATCTCCTTTTCTTTTTTAAATACTGCAGTTCTCAATGTAAAGTTCTTTTATTTCCTTGTTAGATTGATTCCCGAGTGTTTAATTTTTGGGGGGTGAAACTGTGAATAGTGTTATTTCCCTAATTTCTCACTTAGTGACTTGTTATTTAGGTATAGGAATGATTTTTGAGTGTTGACTTTTATACAGCTATGCTATTGAATTTGGTTGTTAAATCTAGAGGTCTTCGGGAGTTGTTGGGTCTTCCATGTAGAGTATCACATCATCTGCAAATAATGATAGTCTAATGTCTTCCTTTCCTGTTCTTATTCATTTTATTTCTTTTTTCTTGTCTAATTGCTCTGCCTAATGTTTCCAGAACTATATTGAATAGGAGTGATAATAGTGGATATCAAAATTTAGAGTGAAAGTGTTTAGTTCTTTTACCATTTAGTATGATGTTAGATGTTGGTTTGTCATAGATGATTTTTACCTTTCTTTTTTAATACCAGGACTTAAACTCAGGACCTCATGCTTGCTAGGCAGGTGCTGTGCTGCTGAAGTATATCCCTGGCCATATATGGATTTTATCAGATTATGATAAAGACCATTTATTCTACTTTCTGCAGGATTTTTATCATGAATAAATGTTGGACTGTGTGAAATGCTTTTTCTGCATTGAGATGATCATGTATTTTTTGGCCTGAGTTCTGTTATGATGGTGTACTACATTTATTGATTTGTGTGTGTGTTGGACCATTCTTGCGTCCCTGGGATGAATCCTACTTGGTCTTGGTGTACAATGTTCTGGATGATTTGTTGCATTCTATATGCCAGTATCTTATTGATCACTTTGCATCTATGTTCATTAGGGAGATTAGCTTCTAGTTCCCTTTTTTAGTTGGATCCTTCTATGGTTTTGTGTCAGGGTAATGCTTGCTTTCAGGAATGAGTTTAGGAGTATTAATGCTATTTCAATTTCATTGAAGTATTTGAGGAATATTGGCAATGGATCTTTTTTAAATTTCTAGAAGATCCAGCCATGAATCTGTCAGGACCTGGGCTTTCCTTATTGATAGGTTTTTAATACATCTTCAATTTCACTGACTGACATTGAGTTATTTATATATT